CCCCTAATTCAGTGTATCTCATGTAATTTAATTCCTCTACTTAAATATTAGGGGGGAAAAAACAACTTTAAATTTATTGGAAAAAGTGTATGAGATAAAGCCACAGTGTACCACATAACCATCATACCATTACATCCATATTAGTGGTCAACCGATATATCGCCAAGGCCGATATATCGGCCGATATTTGGTATTTTTCACTGTCTAATAATCAGAACGGTTAAATAAAGGAATTAAAATTTATACAAAAAAGTATTATAACGATTGTTTTTATATTATTAGTAATAGAAAAGCAAACATTATAATACCGTCTCGTTTGCCGTCAGCATTCAGCAAATACGCATTTAAATAATTTGAACAAATCTTTGAATGTCTATTAATGAACATTTAATTTCACAAACCTTGCAAAATTAGTCGAATCTAGTTAAGATCTTGTGAAGTGTGCATTTGTATCCTGCATGATCTCGTGTGCTCTGTGTGACGGTCGGTCTGTGCGACTTGAATGCGGACAGGAGGAGAGTATCGCGTATTCTCTGTGTGACGATCGGTCCATGCGAATTGAATGCTGACAGGAGGAGAGTTCAGCTTCACTGGAGATGCGTGATCGACAAAATTTAAACTCGTGATTTCAAATTATGCTGCGCTAATTTGCCCACTGTCATATTAATGTCATTTTCACTGTGTGCTGTGTGTAAAATGACTGTTACCTTGGCTTTATTTGAAAAAATATGATTCCCAATGCACACAAACTTCCCAGATTACTTAGTGCCCTGTTGGTTACAATGTTGACTTTTTATTAAATATTTATTTATTTGTGAAAAATACATTGTCATCTCAATTATAAGTATGTTTATTTTACACATTTATTTTTAAATCCATTTTCAAATGATTTCAAATTTCTTAAATATTAATTAAAATAAATAAAATTATATCGGCCATCGGCCACCCTGCTTTCCAAGATATCGGCATCGGCTGTCAAAAAAACTATATCGGTCGACCACTAATAAGCAGTATATAACATCTTTTTGTTTTTGTAATGTTGGGATTCACCTCGTAGCTGGTTGGTTTGATTTGTGGCTTATAAACAAGGACTTAAAACAAATCCTTATGGGAAAAATTAATGGGAAAACTACTTCGGGTACCACTGAACTGGCACTGGTGCACTCTATTGGGGTCCAAAACAACACTAAAGCCCATTGACTTTCGTTGTATGGAAAAAAATATCATCTTTTATCTTCCATAGGAAGTTTTAAATGTAAGCACAATTTTATGTCAAATATCTTGTAATTGAATTTTACTTCTATTTTTCCCCCAGCGAAAGAGCATCTTAAACCCTGAAGCCAAGGAGTTTGTGCCGGGGATGAAATACTAGGGATCATCATTGTCCTTCTCACATCTGTCACACATCTGATCATATATGCAGAGACTGTTGTGCCCATGTTTAGAATGGTCACATAAATGCGCTCTTCTACACATTTTCGAAGGGTCAGGAATACGGAATTTATTTATTTTTGGATGGGTGGGAGGTGGGATTGATTATCTATAGCTTTATATTTCTGTTATGTATAAACCAAGGGTATTAAGTTGAAACATGACCTCTAGGAGGTGCTGTGACTTGCTAATATCATATTCATTACCAGGCTGTTTTATTTTCCTCTACCCTTGCTGAAAGGGCTGTTCTTGTCAGTTTTCATTGTTTCACAGTTTGTGCCTGATCAGGTCTTTGCTTTCCCTCCCGTTGTTGAGGTTTTTTTTTTTCTTTCCTTTTGGTTATTGATCTTTTGTAGAGGAAAGTTTTGATGCATCTGTTCACGTTCCTGTGTTTCAAGGGGTGTGGCCATAAATGACTGGGGGTGTGGCTGGTGGTGGGTGAACCCCTTGGTTTGGGTTGGATGCTGAGAAAAGGGTGTTGGGGAATTCATGTGAATTCAACTTTTGATTTTGAATTGAATTCGTTAAACGCAGGACTGAATTTCATTTAAAAAATGGAAGAATGGCAAATAAAGAAGAAAAGTTTCTACTCAAATGGACCATTTCTTGTGTTTGGCTCTTATCCTAAATCTATCAGTAAAATGTGTACTAATAGTTGGTATTAACTCTGACATTTAAGAGTGGTACCGTTAAAAATGAACCATTTAACATATGCATATGTATGAATCGATTAACATATACATTTTATTTGGATGAGAACTGAACTACTCTAATTTAGCCTCTTCAGTAATCAGCCAGTCAGGTAACCTCATCCATTATTCATTTGCAGGGGATTAGCTTGGAAATATCTGGTTTCTCATCAGTCTTGATTTCCTTTTAACTGCTATAGGGAATGGGAATGGCTATAATTACTTTTTAATGCTCATGAAAGTTGTTGTTTTAATGTAGGGTGTCTAGTTAGACCTACAACCAACATCACATTCAGGTCTCATACTACTGAAATTCCTTTATATTTAACCCTACTTTACTTAGTTTTTATTCATGGTATTCAGACTTTATTATCCTGTGAGTTATTAGACAGTGACTGACAGACATGATGAATGGTATTGAGAAATAATTGCTTGCTGGTAGCAGCACTAAATATTCAGCAATTACAACATTTGCATTTTGAACTTTTTTTTTTAACTTTTAGTAACACTTTACAGTAAGGTTTTATTTGTTAATGCACTGTGGTCTAACAGGAACATTTTAACTAACATCAACAAAGGTAAATAAATGTAAAAATATATTGTTCATTGTTAGTTCATGTTAGTTAAAGCATTAACTAATGTTAACAAATGAGAACTTACTGTAAGGCAGTTGTTCCCAATCCTGGTACTGGAGCACCCCCAAAACTTCACATTTTAGATGTCTCCCAAATCAAATGCACCTGATTAAACTCAGCTCATGTGATCATTATCCTGAGGTCAAAGACACACCGAATTGTGTACAGCATATTCTGCCAGCCATCTAATATATGGCTAATGCCTCAACTGGTTTCAATTGTTGAATATGCTGGTACATGCATACATATGAAATCTGAAATATTGTGGTATGAAAAATCATAGGTGTTTGTATCCTGTGAGCAGCACATAGGTTAAAGAGAAAATACTCATGTTGCTCATTTTTCCACAGTTCCTCCTGCCATGTCAAAGGACATTTTCAAATTTGCATCACATATGAGCTAACCGTATGTCATTTCAAAGGGTTCGACAAACAGATTTAAATAAACTGATAGAAAGGTCCTTGAACATTTTGTTCTGATTGTTTAAGACCATAAAATGGGGTCATTCTTTCATTTATCAAGGCAAAGTACTTTATCATATCATACCAATCTAGTCTCACTGTAAAACCTGATTTTTAGTGAAGATTACACAGGTGTAAAACAGCTATTCTGCTTAATCAGTGGTGTGTTATCATGAACTTAAATTATAACCAATAAAAACATTTAATGTTAATTGAAATAAATGTTAAGTGAAATAAAATTATGAAAAAAAAAAAACTAAAAATTATTTTATTAAAGTTATTTGCCAAGCCAACATTTTTCATTTTGGTTTAGTTTAAAGTACTATAATAACTAATACTAATAAATGTATAGACATATGTGACCCTGGACCACAAAACCAGTCATAAGGGTCAATTTTTCGAAATTGAGATTTATACACCATCTGAAAGCTGAATAAATAAGCTTTCCATTGATGTATGGTTTATTAGGATAGGATTGGCCGAGATACAATTATTTGAATATCTGGGGCCTCATTTGTAAAATGTTGCGTATAAACCGTCCTAAATTTGTTCTAAGATCGTTTCTCAAAAGTGCGTAAGTGCGATTCAGAGAAAACGAACGTGTGCACAAAAACACGTGCGTACGCCTCTCTTCCAGATGTGACATTTATAAATCGCAACTGATCTTGAAATTGTGCGCAGCTGACTGGTGTCAGATCTCCGCCTTGTAAACGCCCCCCTAATTAATAGCATTACCATATAAAAGAGCACACGCCAATATCCGAATTTCTATGCTTGAGAATGACGAGCACAAAGAAAAAAAAAAACTTTACTGAGTCTGAAATTGAGGTCCTGCTGGCGGAGGTAGAGGTTCGTGCGGGGACGCTTTTTATTTAATAAGGTGCAATTATTCTGTGGACAAAATGTGTGTGTGGTTATATTTTTTTCTATTTACTATTATCAAAATTACTACTTCTAGAAACAACAGAAATAATAATAATAGTAATTATAAAACAATTAGGTTTCCAAAAGTAAGATTTTCAGTCATCTTATAAAAAGTGAACCATCCTACTTTTAAAATCACTTGCTATGACCACTAATAAAAAGTTTAGTATCACAAAATTCTTGCAAAACTTAAAAAAAAAACATTATTGAAAGAAAAATTGGATGTTTCATATCATAATCAAATAAATTAGGCTATTACACGATTATGGTCTCCGGTCTGAAAAAATCTGCATGTGATTAGGCGTTTCTTTATATTTACAGTTTACTAATGCTGCTCAAATGTGCCATTAATGTACTGACACAAAAAAAATATATATAGTGCTTTTTAAACAAATATAACTGATGTAAATGACAAAAAAAAAATAATTTTCACAGAAGCAAAGCAGCAGATGATATAAATAAAAACAGTTAACCATGTTATTGAATAGAATCTATTAAAACCGTTATTGCACGACATAGGCATATTCTTATAGGCTACACGGACAAAACAGTCGGAGATGCATTTTTATATATATATATATATATATATATGTATGTATGTATGTATGTACGCTTATCTGGATTGTTCAAACCGACTTAAAATTAAAAGATTACATTCTCTCGCGCAAACTCATTCGGGAGTGGTGACTTTCCACGTATTCCCAACTTCTGAGCCTGCTCGCCTGAAGTTATGGTTGATTGCTCTTCGGCTGGATATCAACACACCCATTAACGTAAACTATGCCAGAGCGCGTACACACCTCACGCACCATGCGCGCGCCCAAAGACAGTTGGACATAGTGGTGTATTAGAGGTAAAAAATGATATAAATACTTTTCGGTTTCTGGCACAAACCGATCGTTTTGCGTCTTAGCACATCAATGTGTGGTCACGAGCCACAGGGTTTAATTTGGATTTGTCTGTGCATGTTTTTTTTTTTTACTCTCATAGATTTTGTTACGATTGCCATACATTATACGACTGATAGACTGCAACGGTTGGACTTAAAAATCATCATATGTGTTCTACTGAAGAAACAAAGTCACCTACATCTTGGATGCCCTGGGGGTAAGCAGATAAACATCAAATTTTCATTTTTTGGGTGAACTATCCCTTTAATATCCTAATGATTTTTGGCATAAAAGAAAAATCAATCATTTTGACCCATATAATGTTTATTTGGCTATTGCTACAAATATACCCCAGCGACTTAAGACTGGTTTTGTGGTCCAGGGTCACATATTTTAAAATAAGTACTTAAATAAATACATAATGACAAAAAAAAAAACACATTTACATGCACTTGTTCATTTTCATGGCCATACCATGAATTAGAAATGCTAAATGGTAACTGATATATGAATCATGGATCTTTTGATCTGGTTATCGGCATTCTTAGATGGACCAACCTGCCTACAATTCTTCTCTAAATAAGTCTCATAACAATCAGCACAATCTAGCTTTCAGTACATCTAGATGTAATGAGGACAAATAGAGGTGGGTCTTTTACATCTGTTCACACACAGGATGTGGTGATAAGGCAGAGAAGAAGAAGGGATGTTCGGGGTTAGCAGCGATTGATGCTGCAAAGTCATTTGCTTCCACCAGTGGTCTGAAGTTCAGAGGGCCAGAGCATCACATTTACATCTCATCTTTTTGGCTCCAAGAAAACTCTGAATTGGAATATCTTAATCAGGTACACAGCTGTGTGTAGATGCAGTTAGTGGTAAAACTCCTGAACCGTGACTATTTTAAGCTAGTATTTGTGCAACTGGGAGATATGCAAGGTTTTAGACATTTCGCTGTACATAATCTTTCTCCATCCAAAAGACTAACAGAACAATAATGTGTGGCATAACGTGCACACAACCTCACACACACAAATGAGGAAGCATTCCCATCAAATCCGACACCTGGGGATGAACAAAACGACAAGGACATGCCATCACTTCTATTCAAGTATCAAATTAAGCACAATATTAAATCAAGTGACCAGCGAGTCCTAACCTGGAAATAGTCTTCCATGGCCTTCTTAACATAGGTGATATCATGAGGGGATGTGACGAGGTTATCTCTGGCATCAAAAACCATTTTAATAGCCAAGTGAGAAATCCAATATGCTACAGGAAGATAAAGACAGAGAGAAAGAAAAAGCTCAGGCCCCGTTCACATCTAGTAATAACATCTATCTCGGGTGATCAGATCAGAAACAGCCAATACAGACTGCTATTTACACCTGGTGGTTTGACGTCAGATAGAGTGAAAATGCTTCCTAAAGTCACGAGAATTAACACTGAAAGTCAGGTCAGAATTCTTTCTTTTTTATTTTTGAAAGAAAAAAAGAAACAAAATACTTTTATTTAGCAAGGACACATTAATTTGATTCAAAGTGACAGTAAAGAAATTTATGTTACAAAAGACTTCTATTTCAAATAAAAAAAAATAGTATTAAAAAACAATGCATATTTTGGAACTTTCTATGAATCAAAGAATTCTGTAAAAAAAAAAAAGATCACTGTTTACACAAAAATATTAAGCAGCATAACTGTTTTCAACATTTATAATAATAAGAAAAGTTTATTTAGCACCAAATCAGCATATTAGAATGATTTCTGAAGGATCACGTGACATGGAAGACTGGAGTAATGGCTGCTGAAAATTCAGCTTTTGCCATAACAGGAATAAATTTTTTTTTTTTTTAAGTTACTCTAAATTTGTAATAATATTTCACAAATTACAGTTTTTACATTATTAGTGATCACATAAAAGCATACATTTCTTTCAAAAACAGTTAAAAAACAGATCCCAAAAAGTTATGTATTACTTTTTACAAATCTGTCAAACGAT